ACAAACGAGGATGAACCCATGATCAAAGGAGACAAACGAGGATGAACCCATGATCAAAGGAGACAAACGAGGATGAACCCATGATCAAAGGAGACAAACGAGGATGAACCCATGATCAAAGGAGACAAACGAGGATGAACCCATGATCAAAGGAGACAAACAGGATGAACCCATGATCAAAGGAGACAAACGAGGATGAACCCATGATCAAAGGAGACAAACGAGGATGAACCCATGATCAAAGGAGACAAACGAGGATGAACCCATGATCAAAGGAGACAAACGAGGATGAACCCATGATCAAAGGAGACAAACGAGGATGAACCCATGATCAAAGGAGACAAACGAGGATGAACCCATGATCAAAGGAGACAAACGAGGATGAACCCATGATCAAAGGAGACAAACGAGGATGAACCCATGATCAAAGGAGACAAACGAGGATGAACCCATGATCAAAGGAGACAAACGAGGATGAACCCATGATCAAAGGAGACAAACGAGGATGAACCCATGATCAAAGGAGACAAACGAGGATGAACCCATGATCAAAGGAGACAAACGAGGATGAACCCATGATCAAAGGAGACAAACGAGGATGAACCCATGATCAAAGGAGACAAACGAGGATGAACCCATGATCAAAGGAGACAAAACGAGGATGAACCCATGATCAAAGGAGACAAACGAGGATGAACCCATGATCAAAGGAGACAAACGAGGATGAACCCATGATCAAAGGAGACAAACGAGGATGAACCCATGATCAAAGGAGACAAACGTTCATCCTTTGATGAACCCATGATCAAAGGAGACAAACGAGGATGAACCCATGATCAAAGGAGACAAACGAGGATGAACCCATGATCAAAGGAGACAAACGAGGATGAACCCATGATCAAAGGAGACAAACGAGGATGAACCCATGATCAAAGGAGACAAACGAGGATGAACCCATGATCAAAGGAGACAAACGAGGATGAACCCATGATCAAAGGAGACAAACGAGGATGAACCCATGATCAAAGGAGACAAACGAGGATGAACCCATGATCAAAGGAGACAAACGAGGATGAACCCATGATCAAAGGAGACAAACGAGGATGAACCCATGATCAAAGGAGACAAACGAGGATGAACCCATGATCAAAGGAGACAAACGAGGATGAACCCATGATCAAAGGAGACAAACGAGGATGAACCCATGATCAAAGGAGACAAACGAGGATGAACCCATGATCAAAGGAGACAAACGAGGATGAACCCATGATCAAAGGAGACAAACGAGGATGAACCCATGATCAAAGGAGACAAACGAGGATGAACCCATGATCAAAGGAGACAAACGAGGATGAACCCATGATCAAAGGAGACAAACGAGGATGAACCCATGATCAAAGGAGACAAACGAGGATGAACCCATGATCAAAGGAGACAAACGAGGATGAACCCATGATCAAAGGAGACAAACGAGGATGAACCCATGATCAAAGGAGACAAACGAGGATGAACCCATGATCAAAGGAGACAAACGAGGATGAACCCATGATCAAAGGAGACAAACGAGGATGAACCCATGATCAAAGGAGACAAACGAGGATGAACCCATGATCAAAGGAGACAAACGAGGATGAACCCATGATCAAAGGAGACAAACGAGGATGAACCCATGATCAAAGGAGACAAACGAGGATGAACCCATGATCAAAGGAGACAAACGAGGATGAACCCATGATCAAAGGAGACAAACGAGGATGAACCCATGATCAAAGGAGACAAACGAGGATGAACCCATGATCAAAGGAGACAAACGAGGATGAACCCATGATCAAAGGAGACAAACGAGGATGAACCCATGATCAAAGGAGACAAACGAGGATGAACCCATGATCAAAGGAGACAAACGAGGATGAACCCATGATCAAAGGAGACAAACGAGGATGAACCCATGATCAAAGGAGACAAACGAGGATGAACCCATGATCAAAGGAGACAAACGAGGATGAACCCATGATCAAAGGAGACAAACGAGGATGAACCCATGATCAAAGGAGACAAACGAGGATGAACCCATGATCAAAGGAGACAAACGAGGATGAACCCATGATCAAAGGAGACAAACGAGGATGAACCCATGATCAAAGGAGACAAACAGGATGAACCCATGATCAAAGGAGACAAACGAGGATGAACCCATGATCAAAGGAGACAAACGAGGATGAACCCATGATCAAAGGAGACAAACGAGGATGAACCCATGATCAAAGGAGACAAACGAGGATGAACCCATGATCAAAGGAGACAAACGAGGATGAACCCATGATCAAAGGAGACAAACGAGGATGAACCCATGATCAAAGGAGACAAACGAGGATGAACCCATGATCAAAGGAGACAAACGAGGATGAACCCATGATCAAAGGAGACAAACGAGGATGAACCCATGATCAAAGGAGACAAACGAGGATGAACCCATGATCAAAGGAGACAAACGAGGATGAACCCATGATCAAAGGAGACAAACGAGGATGAACCCATGATCAAAGGAGACAAACGAGGATGAACCCATGATCAAAGGAGACAAACGAGGATGAACCCATGATCAAAGGAGACAAACGAGGATGAACCCATGATCAAAGGAGACAAACGAGGATGAACCCATGATCAAAGGAGACAAACGAGGATGAACCCATGATCAAAGGAGACAAACGAGGATGAACCCATGATCAAAGGAGACAAACGAGGATGAACCCATGATCAAAGGAGACAAACGAGGATGAACCCATGATCAAAGGAGACAAACGAGGATGAACCCATGATCAAAGGAGACAAACGAGGATGAACCCATGATCAAAGGAGACAAACGAGGATGAACCCATGATCAAAGGAGACAAACGAGGATGAACCCATGATCAAAGGAGACAAACGAGGATGAACCCATGATCAAAGGAGACAAACGAGGATGAACCCATGATCAAAGGAGACAAACGAGGATGAACCCATGATCAAAGGAGACAAACGAGGATGAACCCATGATCAAAGGAGACAAACGAGGATGAACCCATGATCAAAGGAGACAAACGAGGATGAACCCATGATCAAAGGAGACAAACGAGGATGAACCCATGATCAAAGGAGACAAACAGGATGAACCCATGATCAAAGGAGACAAACGAGGATGAACCCATGATCAAAGGAGACAAACGAGGATGAACCCATGATCAAAGGAGACAAACGAGGATGAACCCATGATCAAAGGAGACAAACGAGGATGAACCCATGATCAAAGGAGACAAACGAGGATGAACCCATGATCAAAGGAGACAAACGAGGATGAACCCATGATCAAAGGAGACAAACGAGGATGAACCCATGATCAAAGGAGACAAACGAGGATGAACCCATGATCAAAGGAGACAAACGAGGATGAACCCATGATCAAAGGAGACAAACGAGGATGAACCCATGATCAAAGGAGACAAACGAGGATGAACCCATGATCAAAGGAGACAAACGAGGATGAACCCATGATCAAAGGAGACAAACGAGGATGAACCCATGATCAAAGGAGACAAACGAGGATGAACCCATGATCAAAGGAGACAAACGAGGATGAACCCATGATCAAAGGAGACAAAACGAGGATGAACCCATGATCAAAGGAGACAAACGAGGATGAACCCATGATCAAAGGAGACAAACGAGGATGAACCCATGATCAAAGGAGACAAACGAGGATGAACCCATGATCAAAGGAGACAAACGAGGATGAACCCATGATCAAAGGAGACAAACGAGGATGAACCCATGATCAAAGGAGACAAACGAGGATGAACCCATGATCAAAGGAGACAAACGAGGATGAACCCATGATCAAAGGAGACAAACGAGGATGAACCCATGATCAAAGGAGACAAACGAGGATGAACCCATGATCAAAGGAGACAAACGAGGATGAACCCATGATCAAAGGAGACAAACGAGGATGAACCCATGATCAAAGGAGACAAACGAGGATGAACCCATGATCAAAGGAGACAAACGAGGATGAACCCATGATCAAAGGAGACAAACGAGGATGAACCCATGATCAAAGGAGACAAACGAGGATGAACCCATGATCAAAGGAGACAAACGAGGATGAACCCATGATCAAAGGAGACAAACGAGGATGAACCCATGATCAAAGGAGACAAACGAGGATGAACCCATGATCAAAGGAGACAAACGAGGATGAACCCATGATCAAAGGAGACAAACGAGGATGAACCCATGATCAAAGGAGACAAACGAGGATGAACCCATGATCAAAGGAGACAAACGAGGATGAACCCATGATCAAAGGAGACAAACGAGGATGAACCCATGATCAAAGGAGACAAACGAGGATGAACCCATGATCAAAGGAGACAAACGAGGATGAACCCATGATCAAAGGAGACAAACGAGGATGAACCCATGATCAAAGGAGACAAACGAGGATGAACCCATGATCAAAGGAGACAAACGAGGATGAACCCATGATCAAAGGAGACAAACGAGGATGAACCCATGATCAAAGGAGACAAACGAGGATGAACCCATGATCAAAGGAGACAAACGAGGATGAACCCATGATCAAAGGAGACAAACGAGGATGAACCCATGATCAAAGGAGACAAACGAGGATGAACCCATGATCAAAGGAGACAAACGAGGATGAACCCATGATCAAAGGAGACAAACGAGGATGAACCCATGATCAAAGGAGACAAACGAGGATGAACCCATGATCAAAGGAGACAAACGAGGATGAACCCATGATCAAAGGAGACAAACGAGGATGAACCCATGATCAAAGGAGACAAACGAGGATGAACCCATGATCAAAGGAGACAAACGAGGATGAACCCATGATCAAAGGAGACAAACGAGGATGAACCCATGATCAAAGGAGACAAACGAGGATGAACCCATGATCAAAGGAGACAAACGAGGATGAACCCATGATCAAAGGAGACAAACGAGGATGAACCCATGATCAAAGGAGACAAACGAGGATGAACCCATGATCAAAGGAGACAAACGAGGATGAACCCATGATCAAAGGAGACAAACGAGGATGAACCCATGATCAAAGGAGACAAACGAGGATGAACCCATGATCAAAGGAGACAAACGAGGATGAACCCATGATCAAAGGAGACAAACGAGGATGAACCCATGATCAAAGGAGACAAACGAGGATGAACCCATGATCAAAGGAGACAAACGAGGATGAACCCATGATCAAAGGAGACAAACGAGGATGAACCCATGATCAAAGGAGACAAACGAGGATGAACCCATGATCAAAGGAGACAAACGAGGATGAACCCATGATCAAAGGAGACAAACGAGGATGAACCCATGATCAAAGGAGACAAACGAGGATGAACCCATGATCAAAGGAGACAAACGAGGATGAACCCATGATCAAAGGAGACAAACGAGGATGAACCCATGATCAAAGGAGACAAACGAGGATGAACCCATGATCAAAGGAGACAAACGAGGATGAACCCATGATCAAAGGAGACAAACGAGGATGAACCCATGATCAAAGGAGACAAACGAGGATGAACCCATGATCAAAGGAGACAAACGGGGATGAACCCATGATCAAAGGAGACAAACGAGGATGAACCCATGATCAAAGGAGACAAACGAGGATGAACCCATGATCAAAGGAGACAAACGAGGATGAACCCATGATCAAAGGAGACAAACGAGGATGAACCCATGATCAAAGGAGACAAACGAGGATGAACCCATGATCAAAGGAGACAAACGAGGATGAACCCATGATCAAAGGAGACAAACGAGGATGAACCCATGATCAAAGGAGACAAACGAGGATGAACCCATGATCAAAGGAGACAAACGAGGATGAACCCATGATCAAAGGAGACAAACGAGGATGAACCCATGATCAAAGGAGACAAACGAGGATGAACCCATGATCAAAGGAGACAAACGAGGATGAACCCATGATCAAAGGAGACAAACGAGGATGAACCCATGATCAAAGGAGACAAACGAGGATGAACCCATGATCAAAGGAGACAAACGAGGATGAACCCATGATCAAAGGAGACAAACGAGGATGAACCCATGATCAAAGGAGACAAACGAGGATGAACCCATGATCAAAGGAGACAAACGAGGATGAACCCATGATCAAAGGAGACAAACGAGGATGAACCCATGATCAAAGGAGACAAACGAGGATGAACCCATGATCAAAGGAGACAAACGAGGATGAACCCATGATCAAAGGAGACAAACGAGGATGAACCCATGATCAAAGGAGACAAACGAGGATGAACCCATGATCAAAGGAGACAAACGAGGATGAACCCATGATCAAAGGAGACAAACGAGGATGAACCCATGATCAAAGGAGACAAACGAGGATGAACCCATGATCAAAGGAGACAAACGAGGATGAACCCATGATCAAAGGAGACAAACGAGGATGAACCCATGATCAAAGGAGACAAACGAGGATGAACCCATGATCAAAGGAGACAAACGAGGATGAACCCATGATCAAAGGAGACAAACGAGGATGAACCCATGATCAAAGGAGACAAACGAGGATGAACCCATGATCAAAGGAGACAAACGAGGATGAACCCATGATCAAAGGAGACAAACGAGGATGAACCCATGATCAAAGGAGACAAACGAGGATGAACCCATGATCAAAGGAGACAAACGAGGATGAACCCATGATCAAAGGAGACAAACGAGGATGAACCCATGATCAAAGGAGACAAACGAGGATGAACCCATGATCAAAGGAGACAAACGAGGATGAACCCATGATCAAAGGAGACAAACGAGGATGAACCCATGATCAAAGGAGACAAACGAGGATGAACCCATGATCAAAGGAGACAAACGAGGATGAACCCATGATCAAAGGAGACAAACGAGGATGAACCCATGATCAAAGGAGACAAACGAGGATGAACCCATGATCAAAGGAGACAAACGAGGATGAACCCATGATCAAAGGAGACAAACGAGGATGAACCCATGATCAAAGGAGACAAACGAGGATGAACCCATGATCAAAGGAGACAAACGAGAGGATGAACCCATGATCAAAGGAGACAAACGAGGATGAACCCATGATCAAAGGAGACAAACGAGGATGAACCCATGATCAAAGGAGACAAACGAGGATGAACCCATGATCAAAGGAGACAAACGAGGATGAACCCATGATCAAAGGAGACAAACGAGGATGAACCCATGATCAAAGGAGACAAACGAGGATGAACCCATGATCAAAGGAGACAAACGAGGATGAACCCATGATCAAAGGAGACAAACGAGGATGAACCCATGATCAAAGGAGACAAACGAGGATGAACCCATGATCAAAGGAGACAAACGAGGATGAACCCATGATCAAAGGAGACAAACGAGGATGAACCCATGATCAAAGGAGACAAACGAGGATGAACCCATGATCAAAGGAGACAAACGAGGATGAACCCATGATCAAAGGAGACAAACGAGGATGAACCCATGATCAAAGGAGACAAACGAGGATGAACCCATGATCAAAGGAGACAAACGAGGATGAACCCAACGAGGATGAACCCCCAAAGGAGCCAAACGAGGATGAACCCATGATCAAAGGAGACAAACGAGGATGAACCCATGATCAAAGGAGACAAACGAGGATGAACCCATGATCAAAGGAGACAAACGAGGATGAACCCATGATCAAAGGAGACAAACGAGGATGAACCCATGATCAAAGGAACAAACCATGATCAAAGGAGACAAACGAGGATGAACCCATCAAAGGAGACAAACGAGGATGAACCCATGATCAAAGGAGACAAACGAGGATGAACCCATGATCAAAGGAGACAAACGAGGATGAACCCATGATCAAAAGAGACAAACGAGGATGAACATGATCAAAGAGACAAACGAGGATGAACCCATGATCAAGGAGACCCAAACGAGACAAACGAGGGATGAACCCATGATCAAAGGAGACAAACGAGGATGAACCCATGATCGAACCCATGATCAAAGGAGACAAACGAGGATGAACCCATGATCAAAGGAGACAAACGGAGGATGAACCCATGATCAAAGG